TTATATTTTTGAAGGGTTATTAATCTAAGTTTTCATCTTTACAAATTCTTTAAAGACCTTTATACGATGAGCCAAGCCCAGAAAGTTAACTGGTGAAAGACACTAATAACCAATATTAATAAAACCATTCTTGTTTATTTGTTCTCTAATTCTACCTAAATTACATCAAATCTTAAAATCATAAGTGCAAAATATCTAATTAAAACAACAGATAAGTTGGGCTTGCCTTTTAGTGGTGTCCCTATTCAGAATGTATCCATCGAGTTTGATGATGCCAGAACCATGGTTTGTACAGCATGCAGCAGCAGCAGCCATTACCAAATTTTAATCAGAAAATGGGTAAGAATTCAAGAATTGGGATCAATTTAATGGAGGGAGATTGGGCAATTCTCGAAGAAATTGCATAATTTTGTGGGCAGGAAGAAGAAAAGGGTGTACGGAGTGAGATGCAGGGTGCAGACCGAAAAGAGTCAACCGGACAGACTTGTACGGAGTGAGATGCAGGGTGCAGACCGAAAAGAGTCAACCGGACAGACTTGTATGAAAGGTTCGTTTTTCAAGTTTCAATTCAGACAAAAATTGTTTTTTTATTTACTGGATTGCGTCTGGAAGTATTTTTTTTTCCTAATCCTTGATATAAAATGTCACGTTCAGCAGATACTAAGACCCCACAAAAAACTCTTGTTATTAATTTATATTAAAATTAGAATTCAGAAGAAAATTGTCCACCAAGTTGATCAACCTTCAGAAAGTGCATGGGCTCAGCATAAATTAAATAATGCTCGATCTCCGAGGTGTACATGTTCGGTCATCCAAACCGTCAACGGCTAAGTTCGTGTAGCATGATTCTTAAAATTATAAAGCAAATAATTTATTGTTCCAACTTCCAAATAAATAAATAAAGGGGATTTTTCCAAAGTGATGATTATTTTTAAGTTATTTGAGTCTTCAAAGTAAGATTTATAAGTTTTTTTTAATAAGATTGTAGTTTTACAAGTTTCTATTTTAAATTTGTTGTTGTACTTAAACGTTGAGATACAAAAATTTGTGTATCATACTAATCAAAGCATAAACAAATTTTACAAATAGCCAAAATCATAAAGTTCGTGCCAATAAATAACATAAAATTATCAGAAATGCTAGTCAAACAATGAATTTAGACAAGGTTTTATATGAATCCCTGTATAAATCCCTATCTAAAATCCCTATTTCTGAAGCATCTCTGTAAAATTATGGGGATAACAAAGGTGAAGGAAGGTGTTTAAACTTTAAACAATGATTTTTGTCACTATGAACCTCCTACATCACGTACTCTTTCTCATGCTCGAACAAAAATATAATTATTTCTTAAAAAGTATTTTACGCATAACATGTGCTTGGATAAGGTGGGAAAAAAAATTAAAAACCCAAATGCAATGGCGCTGCTCATTTGCTCCACAAGCTAGCCAGTCTCGTAATAGCTCGACCTGTTTCACCAAGAGTATATGCATAGAGACGGACTCGAATTCAACAAGGCAAGCTTAGCCAAATAATAGTTGTGGTTAGGGCTAGGCAAATCTCCCGAACCGAACCGATCGAATCGAACCCGAACCGAACTGAACCGAACTCGACGGTTCTTGTCAAATTAAATACCCGAACGGGTATCTGAATTAAGAACCGACGGGAACGGTTCGGTTCTCGGTTCTAGACTAAGAACCGAAAAACCGAATAAGAACTGAATTTTTCTAATTTTTTTATATTGAATAAATGAAATTATTTTAATTTTAATTTTTTCTAAACAAATTAACAATTTCTAAATCCAAATTTTTGGCGCAATAATTTATTTCATTTCTAATTTTTTAATTTTTGGCCCAATTACCCATTTTATTGTTTCATTTCTTAACCCAACAAGATCCAATCCACTAAATAATCATAAACACCTACACTAAAGTGCATAACGCTGTCTCGACTCTCACATTCACTCTCGCAGGCTCGTTGACATTCCAAAACCTATACAATCGTCGACTGACGCTGTGACCACCAACCGAAACTGTGACCTCCACCGACCGAAGTTTTGACCGTAGCGATCATTTGAACAAAGTAGTTTACTAGTATCTGACATTCCAAAACCATTGAACGTGTTATTAGTTGTATTTATATAATGTTGTTATAAATGTTAAAAAATTTAATTATAGTACAGAACCGAACGGAATCGAACCAAACCCAACGGTTCCATAATTATATTTGGACCCGATGGTTCCATTTACTAGATACCCAAAAATTTTGGTCCGACTCGCGCCCACCCCTAGTTGTGGGCTTCGCAAGCTTGCTTTATTGTCTTATATAATTATCTTAAATTTTCCTATTTTTAATCTTATATTTTATTTTTAAATACTAAAATTTCTTAATTATGTCTAAAAAAGAATAAAAAAGCTCATGAGTCGACTTGGCTGACTGTTATAGGCAAGGGCTATGAGTTGAAAAGAGTTTGTCCCCTTGGTCAACAAGCCTAGTCGAGTTGAGCTTGGGTGGATGGCTCCGACCTTGCCACCTCTAAATTTTAGCTTTTAATCCAAAATATTAGGCATAAATCCAAAATTTTTCTTTCTTTTTTTAACCACACATTCTTAAAAAATTTATTATTACAAAATACATTTTTCTCCAAAATCTAATTAAAATGGAGCACGTACAGGGACTAAGAAAGAATGGAGAAATAAATTACTTGACAAGAAATTTCAATGGACAATAAGCCCCTCTTTTACTTCCATTATTTTACATTATAATTTTTCTCTCTTTTATTTTCCATCACATGATCTTTTATATAATAATATTACACATAAATTAAAAATTTTTCCTTCTTTTTCAGCCACACATTTTTCAAAACAATATAATTCCAAAAATTATAATGGAGGCCAAACGGGGGCTAAGTCAAAGGCGTCGGGAGGGGGAGAGAAAGAGTTTTTGAATTTTAGATTATTGTTTAGGCAAATAAATATCTATCTTTGTATATTTCTCCAATTCACTATTGAATTATTTAATATATTGCAAAAATAAATGCCACACGATTTCTATTGGTGCAGACTAATGAAATTATCTAACTTACAGCATGAACCATAATATTTAAAATTTATTTTTTAATGGTGTAATAAAATTTAACTAAAAGTCCATAAATTTCTTGACCCTGTTGCAAAGAACCCGAATCTCAGATTGAAAGCCTCTTGGGGAAGGGAGGAAAAAAAAAAAACAATCCAGCAATACCATGAAAATTTTGATTATAACATGTATATGTAGCTGCATACTCGAAATGATCATATTAAAAACAATGGAAAGAAAGTACATCAAAACCAACTATGGAGATCCAACAATATTTTCCATGACAAGAAACTATAAATAGTTTTTTGGAGATGCTCTTACTAATTTTATGATTATTAGTTACTTGTCATGTTCATGGTAATTATGAATTTTTTACTACTTAAGAGGCTATGTTTTATGCACAACAAAGACAATTTTGTTATTTATATAATACCAAAGCACCAACCTTCTTCATTAACCATAAAAAGAACGTAAATAAACCCTAATACAACAAATACATAGGATCATAAACGTCTCAATATATAAAATAGTTTCTGACATAGATAGAACTTGTGATTAATGTCACACACACCAGATTCATTCAGCAAATCAAACGACATATTGCTACCAAGAAGTAGTACGTAATTAGAAGGGAAAGGGGAGGTCTCCATTCAGAGCGTCAGCAGCATCAGTTCCATGCATAAGCTTCCTAAGAACCACTCCTTGTTGGGGAAAAAAAACCTGAGTTATGGGCCGACTTTGGCAGGAGTTTTGAGTGGGACCGGGTTGTTCAATTTGGAAGATGAAAGTTGATTTGCGTTCTCCTCCGTGAGTACATCGAAATTATATACTTACTTGCCAAAAATGATGCTTGGGTGAATGATAAAATTGAGGCTCAAATTGTGTCATTCAAAAGGGAGTTAATGTGGGAAAAATGAAGTTGTCCCACATAGGAAAAAGATGAGAAACTCCAAAGGTCATTGCCATTAATGGTAACCTAGCCTATAAATAGTGGCTTATTTTCCTAATTTCAATACACCAAAGCAAAAGCTTTCAAGTTTAGAATACACAAGAAATTCATTTGCATAGAATTCTGTCTTTTCTGCATTTCTGTCTTGGTGGTAGTGTAGTTCAAGCACTAGTTCAATTCGTCAGAGTGGTTTCTGTGGTGCTCGGAAGCTACTGGTTTTACCGTTGTATCTTGGGAAATGGACGCTCGTTTTAAACCTCAAGTACGGACGATGAGGGGGCGAATCTGTTTTAAGGAAACTGTGTAACACAGGCCTCGGATTGAAATTTTATTTCCTGCAATTTCAATTATTTGTTCTGTTATTTATTGCAGTAAATTCAATGGTTGATTTGTTGTTCATTCTGTTATTATCCAATTAATTGTACGACTGTAACTTGCTGTTATATATCATCTTACTGGACAAAAGGCATATATGGTATTGAAATCGAGAATACCGGATTCCTCATTTTTCATAAACTTACAGGATTTCAGAAAAGTTCGGTCGATCGAACTGGTGAAACTTGAGATTTTCTCTACAAGCTTAAAACAGATTTTCAGAAAGAAAAAATTGGTTTCCTATATTGATTATTTTTGAACTGATTAGTTTCTTATAATATGAGGAAATTATCAAAATAGTCAACTTTTTTGTTTGTATTTACAAAAATGTCACTTATTTTTTGACATTGCAAAAATGTCAATTGTAGACAATTTTAGACATATTTGGCCTTAAAGTTAAATATAAATACCCAACATATCCTAATGAAATTTTGATTTGACCAATCAAACAAATTGTACAAAACTATGAAAGATTGTCAGATGAAATTGAATTATTGAAGAAAAAGAAAAAATGCATGGCAAAACGAAAATGCAAGCTGTATTTCTCCCCCAGCCCCCCATTCGAAGAAGAGAAATCCTGTGAAGAAAACTGAATCCCTAAAATTCAGTCCTCTCTCTCGCGAAGTAGACGACCGCCGGCGAACCCCATATGCCTTGAACGAAAGGAAGAGAAATTGAAATCAGTAAATCTGTAAAAGTCACTCGTTGTTGTGACGAAAGTAACCACCGGCGGCCACCCAAAATGTCGTGAAGGAAAGGAAGACGAAACGAAATCCCTAAATCCCTGAAAATCGGTCCACTCTGTGACGAAATCCACCATCGCTAGCGAACTCCTCTCCCTCACCGAAGTCCGTAAATCCCTGAAAGTCAGTCCTCTCTGTCCGCCGCCGACTGCCGAGCATTACCTGTACGTAAGTGAATCTGATTTCTGTGATTGCATTTGTTGTCTTTGTCATTTTTGAAATTGATTTATTGGGTTTTCATTTTGGTGTTTATATGTGTGTGTGTTTAGATATGTTTGTTTATAGGTGTATACTTTTTTGTGGATTGAAGTTGGAGATGAAAATTGAAATTGAAAAGATGGATTGTTCTGAATGTGTTTGTTTATTTGTGTGTGTTTTTAGATGTGATTGTGCATGTGTTCGTAACTTGTATGATCCTCTATATACTCCATTGTTTGAAATTTGTTTCAACACTTGCTGCTGGATTATCACCACTAGAGCCTGCAGATTTCGATTTCGATATCATTGATGGCATTCCAACCATGAGCTTTCTCTTCTTATAGTTTACCTTAAAACACGCTTGCCTCAGTCTCTTAGTTTTGTCCGCCAATTGTAAATCAGGAACCTCTTCCATCAACTTTCTCTCTTGCTCTAAAATTTGTATTGCATCTCTCAACTTCCCTTCTCCTTCCTCCTGCCCTAACTCCTGTAAAACCCGTAAAGCGAGTAACTTAAATACTTTGTAATAAGTTCGATATCATAGGCTTGACAGTAAACAGTATATACATAACTGGACATTCTTGATTAGGGTTTGTAGACTCATCAACTTCCTGTGTGGCCACCTTCTAATTCCTAATTCTCTACACCTTTTCTTCAAAAGGGTTAATCCCACATTAACTTCCCTTGCTGCTTTTGTAATTGGCATGTGAAAATACTGAGGAATTGTTTCCTTTGATAAGATTTTGCAATTACTTGTATGGGTTTTTACTTCTCTATGCCTTTTAACTATCTTCATATCCTACACATGCTCTTCTACAGTTATATCTTTATTAGTATTCTCCAATAGTAACTGCTGATTCCCAGTTTCAAACCTTCCCATCGCACTTCCATAATCGCAGAAGAAATTCTCTGCATATTTTTGACAAAATCTTGTTAGTATATAAATCTTGATTATATGAAGAATTGATTATAATCAGTACCTGTTCTTTTGCTCGTCATTAAACTCATTTAGGTAATCAAATGCAGTAGTACTGCACGAGAATACCAGATTGATTTGGATATATGCGAAACCGTAAGCATGTAGTGTATTTTCTCTTTATAACTGCTTAAACATCAATTAGTTGGGTTATGATGTCAATTTCTAATTTCTTGATTTCAGTAATCTTCATGTGTGAATATGAACAATCTCTTGATACATATGTCGTGAACTTGATATCCTTGCTTCACATTTCAGCATTCAGCACTGTGGTCTCTATCAAAACCATGAATTCTTTAGGTGTAACTTATAGGAATCAATATTCTGTTGGCTGATTTGGAAAAGGGATTTGACCATTAGAAATTAGCTTTAATATTACTTTTGGTTATACTTGATATACACTTTCAGTTTATAATGTGTAATAATTAAAAGATTTGGAGATTGGTATTCAAGAAATGTGGCAATTTCAATGTATGCTCTTCTTCAATACCTTTTTTTATGCGCAACATTTCTTTCTATTGTTGCAGAACCAAACTTTGTAGAGTGTGGACGAAGAAAAGAGACGTATCTGTCCATAGCTCTTTGCAACTGCTACAACTAGACCAGGTGAAAGCACTTTCTTCTCTCTTGTGTTTGTGATGTACGAATATGTATTGAACTTATCTCGCACAAGAAATTCACAAACCAACTTGCTGCTTTGCATATCTCTTTGATTGCTCGGTGCACAGTTGCATCATTTGGTGTTTTGGATGTAGTTATAAAGGGGAAACTAGTCTTGTTTGCTTGTCTTCCACTGTAACGGTCCTTTTTTACTTGGTTGGTTCGATGTGTTTACATTCGTACCTGTTTGCATGGCTGGCTATCAAATGACATTGTAGAATTAACATCCACGTTTCCACCTTCATTGTGATTTTTGGGATGACCGGATTTGGGCATGTTCTACATTTTCATATAGGGCACCATGCATATGTAACATCTAAATTTTAAAGCGTTTTGTGAATTTTCGGGAGCCTAGTTTTCCGCTGTTATGTAGCAAGTTTGTGGGTTGGGGCACCATGCATACATATGCCATATTTATGTTCAAAACTGTCGTTCCCGACATTTGCCTCCTGTTATTCTCGACAGTTGGCTGACCCCGACAGATGAACTGTCGTTCCCGATAGTTAGCTGCGGGCATTCTCGACAGATGTTGTACGCCACTGTAAGGCAGAGTGCAGTCATCTATCGACACAGGTTTCAGTGACAGTGTCTCGACAAATGACATTGGGCACAGACGACACTGCACGTGCGTCGAGAAACATGTCTGTCAAACATTCATATGTCATTACCGCATGTATATTTCCACATTACAAAATTTTATTGCTAGCATTTTATTTTGCTTAATATTGCAAGCACAATTCGCCATAATAAATGTTTACGGCAACTTCGGGTAGATGATATGTTGTTATACATTTTCTGTATTACTTGTTCCAATTGATGTTCTTTTGGTCTAACCATTATCGTTTCATCTGTAGATATTATGGATTTTCAATTTCTGGTGCCCAAGAATGTACGGTTGCCGGCCCGTATCTCGCAACGGAGCAACTTGAAGTACATAAAAACAGTGATGGATAACTTCGACGATCGACTTCGGGCTGACTTTCGCGACTCCTGCCTTGGGTTTCTTACTGACGTTCCGGAGATCCAGTTTTTCGCTCAGCTGATCCAGGCATTGGTGTGCCGAGGGATCCGTTGCGATAAGTTCCATGAGTTGTGGTTCAACGTGCAGGGCCACCTTACCCGGTTTGGACTACAGGAGTATGCTATCGTCACTGGACTGCATGTTGGGTCGTTTCCGGAGGGCGATCGGTACACAAAGGCATTGGAGAAGAGGAGATTGAAGGAAAAATATTTCAAATCGCTGGATAAGATTTCATGTGCCCAGCTGGAGAAGGCCTTTCTCCGCGCGTCGACACCCCGGGCAGATAGATACAAGCTCGAGCTTGCTCTAATTGTGGAAGGAGTTATCACTGCTCCGAACAATAATGTCGGCATTGATGAGGATACGCTTGCCATCGTTGACGACCTGGAGCTATTTTTTGCGCACCCCTGGGCGAAAGTGGGGTATAGGCATTAGTTGAAGGGATTCCGGGGTACTTGGGCACGTAAAATGAGCGATGCGAAGATGAAGAACGAGAAGGACGTCAGTTATACAATTCACGGATTTCCAATCGTCATGCAGGTACGAATAAAATTATGTTTATGTGTTTTGTTTGTCAGTATTAGACCATGCCTCTATAGTGTTTGGACGGATATTAATGTGACATTTGTTTTGTTATTGTCCAGACAGATTTGGGCATATGAGGTCATGCCCAAACTCGGCGAACGCTTCGGTGAGCGTGTGGTTGAACGCTCGCCCCGACTTCTGTGTTGGAACTCCACCAAACAACCACAGCAACGTACATACGATGCGTTCTTCAAGGATGTACAGGTCATGGACATTTTTCATTTGTCTTTCCATTATTTTGTTTAATTGGGAATAGTATGCATTACATTTAAACTACATGTTCTCCCCTATTTCTACAGCTGCACGTCCATGCCACACTGCGTCCCACGGAGGTCGAGCGTGATCTGCCATACATTGCCAGTTTGGTGTCATTCCCCGACCGTCCAGTACAATTTTTGGACGACCTCGCTAGGAGGGTTATCAGCCCACAGTTCCATGAGGCCGCACCAGCTAGTGGGGGAGATGACGGTAGCGATGCGGGTGATGAGCATGATAACAAGTCCGGTGCAGGGGCCGAGGACGTTGACACATCCGCGAGCGATGGCCATCACACACTGGAGGGCAACGGGGAGGATGGGGCTGAGCCTGATAACAGTGGAGAAAGCGGTGGCGACCACTCCAGTGAGACCAGTGGTAGTGACAGGGAGAACGAAGTGGATGCCTCGGGACGGAAGTTGGGTGCATTACCCACTCCAGTGGTTGCCCCGTCGACATATGGGGTTCAGGGTACGCGCGGTGGAGCGACTATAACGAGGGAGGACGTGGAGGGCATGTTGTATGACCAGGGCATCCTCTTCGAGATGAGGTTGCGCACCGTGAAACTTGAAATCATGCAACACGTCACCGAGGAGTTCGCCAAACTGAGAGACTTCATATCTACCTTGGTGCCCCCGTCTAGTGGCACCTCCACTTCCGCTGTAGCTCCGGTAGTGAATGAGCCAAACCTTTCGGACACAAAGGTATGAGTTTATGTTACTGTTACTTCCATTTACAACATGTGTGCAATTTTTCGTATGCGTTTGCTTACAAATGTATTTTTGAAATTGCCAAATTACTTAGATGTACATGGAGGCGACATGGACATGTGCCCGGATGACGGTGGCCGTCCTTCCCCTATCGGGAACTTGGACGTGAATGGTATGTCCGTTAGTTCTATGTAACACATTTTTGGTCTTCAATGTCATGTCATCTCGTGATATGCTAGTCTATTGTATTTGACTGTAATAATAAATTTTTTTTTGGTTTCGAAGTAGACGGGCAAGGCAGCGACGTACAGAGCCCGCATGACGACGTCCATGCTGACGACGTCGAAATGTAGGAGAGGAACGGTACGTGCGTAAATTTTGTATTTTATGTCATGTCATCTCCTGATATCATGGTTGTTGTATTTTATTCGCCTGTACTTACTGTCTTCAATTTCAGTCGTTCTATAATTTCTTATTTCGTCATACGCATATGTATTCAATTTCACTCGTTCATTCATTTGTTCTTTGTCTTCCAACTAGACGGGGAAGGCGGAGACGAACAGACCCCAGAGGATGACAACCGCACGGAGGAGGGTGACATGCAGGACATGAACGGTACGTGCGTAATTATTTCCTACTTCTGTGATTTGGGTTCTATTACAAAACACTCCCCCTTACGCAAATGATAATTCATATATTATATTTCTCCTACTTCTGTGATTTGGGTTCTATTACAAAACACTCCCCCTTACGCAAATGATAATTCATATATTATATTTCTCCATTTCACCCAATTTTCTTTAAACTAGACTCAGGAGAGACAGTCCCTACTCTCCCCACCGACGATGAGGAAGGCCCATCGACCCATGACGTCACCGAGGTGGACGGTATGTGTTTTTTTCCCTTCACTAATCTGATTCCACGACTATGTGGTGTTGTTCACACAGAACCGTTTCACTAAACTGTTGAAATGTTTTATATGGTTGCTTCCACAGAGTTGCCGGCACAAGTGACCGTACCGGAGACGGGAGGCCATGTGGACAGCGCAAATAGGCGGCGATCGACTCGTGTTCAACGTCACCACCTACCCGGACGCCATACACGAGATAAAGGGCAAAGAGAGTAAAGAAATGAGTGAGTTGAAGTGGTTTCGTAAGGTCTGACGTAATAGTAGTTACGTTGTTGGTAACAAAGACATGCTTCGAATTTGGTTTGATTTTGGGTTTGATACGTTTGCTCACCCATATTGTTGGACTGATTTTTGAATCTGGTTTGATTTTTAGTTCAAGCATGGGATGGTATAGTCAGTACATTTTGGGTGTATGCGTTGATGACATAATGCATATGTTGTTCCTGAAATATGCTACAGGTTAAACTGTCATTTGTAGAGTACATATCGCTTTGCTATAATACATGTTTAGTGCAAGCATGGGGTGGTAGTGTCGGTAAATTTTGTGTGTATGCGTTGACGACATAATGCATGTCTTCTTCATGAAATGTGAAAGGGTACATCAACATCATAACTAAAATGAATATATCATCATTCTTATACATCCCAGTCACATGACTTGTCAACACGAACTGACGATTTTTCCTGTTAGAGTCCTCACAAAAATCTGCACATGTACTCGCAACCTCAGCACGAAGTGCAGAGTTGACTCTTTGTCGGGTGGGATTCTTTCCTTGTCCTCAATTGTAGCTTTAACATTATCGTCGGTGTCGAAGCTTCATCTTCACGAGTTACTGTCTTCGAGTTTTGACAATAATCTGCCTGTGAGCACCAATCCTCGACACGAACTGCAGTGTGGACTCTTTATGAATTTTATAGTCGCCCGAACTAAGGCCATCCGAAGCTATTAACCAGCGAACATGAGCCTCTGTGTTGGTCTGGTGCGATTCGTTCGTTGACTTGTATGTTGGCTTCACCATTTTATTTATGGCCTGTATTGTTTATGAACCCTTTCACATATCATAAACAACATAGGCCATAAATATATTGACGTGTAGATTGCCTACACGTTTTCTACTCCATGGGTGAGTACATTTTCTGGTTCTTACGTTGATTGGATGGATAGTTACGGACTTGCTCTGCTCTGTCATTTCAGTTTACTGGACACCTGATGCAGGTAGGCAGCTGATTAATTGGGAGGGATTCTTTTGTCACATATCAAAAACATTTCATCGAGGTGTGATGACGATCTTTCGTACAATGATGAAGAGGTGTAGTTAATAGCACCAAATAACACCCAAAGGGATCCAAACCTGGGTTGATGCCTGAACGTACAATTGTGGAGACGATTACATCGTATCACATATGATGTAATCGTTGATGATGTGAACGGGGTTTATGAGATTACTTCAATTCCATATGGGGATATGGTTAAGTGGAACGCACATTCAGACACGACATTCGTTTGTACTATAATTAAGTTGATGTTCATCGTACTTGATGAAGTAGTAGTATTATGTAATTTCATTTCATTGGAGTTGAAGGTGTTATACCTGCAGAAATGAGTCATGGTATGAAATGATTTTCTGTGTAATGGAGTGTGGTCGAACGATCGAGGACAATGATTATTGTAAAAGTCGCATTATTGTAGAATGAAAAAGTCGGTGTTATCTTTGCTTCGTTAGCCCCAACATTGCAACCAATGTATGTTTATTTCGAAATGCGTTTGAGTATAAATTCACTTGTTCGTAGAAATTAAAGTTTATTTTAAAAATGGCTTGTAAATTCATCCAATGTTCAACTTCATTGACAGGGATATTAATTTTATCAATTTTTCATGCAGTTCATTTGATTTAGAATTCAAAAACGGTATTCAATTGTGACTAATGAGTACATAAATTCTGTTAAGTAATGTAAGTACAAATACATTGCAGGAATGTTGCCATTGCAAGTATTGCACATGGGTACAATTTAGTCATAATTCTCACCATTCATGGACTGCATTAAAGTACACATACACCCTTAACCATCACACTAAACCATCACATCAATGGTCAATCAAGTGTTAATTACAAATGAAATGGTGGTTGGTTGGTAAATTGTTTTAAATGTTCTCATATACCTCCAGTATAAAGCAAGGCTTGCACTCTTCAAGTGGGATATATGAAACTCTTTCAGAGGCATCTTGTAGCAGGAACGTATCAAACTATTTGAAGTCTGTTTCTTCGTACGAAAATAATGGCATAGTCCACGGGAAGCAATTCACCACTGGCACTTGAGGAGCCAATGCCAACACCCGGTTCGACCCCGCTATGTCCCATCGTAATTTCTTCAGACGATGACGAAGTGAGTTCGAATGGTGGTAGGAGAGCCATCACTGTCGTTCCCTTTCTGAACCTAGACGAAGTTCCAACTGATGAAGGTGAGTCTCCGAGAAATGTGCTTGAATGGGTCGTCCCATTTATGGATGCAGATGAAGATCAACGTTACGAGGATGAAGGGCAAGGTCGCGTTTCATCGCCCGAGGTAATTGTCATCAGCTCGGATGATGACAGTGAGGAAGAAGGTTCAAGTGTTAGCTCCGAGTGAAGAATCCGGCTTTGTTGCGTGTGTGGATTTCTACGTATGTATGTATAGTGGTTTTTTATAACGGATGGATTTTGTGACGCTTAACCAATTCTGTAGCAAGTAGGAAACCCCGTTGGCAAGTTATGTGGTTTTTGTATTTTGTTAAGCGAATCATCGCACAACTGTCGAGAATGGCAGGCACCATTTGTCGAGAACGATAGATGAAGTGTCGGGGTTTACTGTCAAATTTTCTGTGTATCTATGCATATTCATATAACATGTAGTTTGGGTGAACGTACACAACCTAATGTGTACATTGAACGTAGTTTCTGAACTTTGCGGACAGTGTTATGCGCTACAAATGATGTGTTCGTAATATGCATTTCAAAGGAAGCTTCTATAATGGATGAACTTTTCATATTCTGTACATTCTATTTACATGTGTCAACAATCGCAACAATGTTATGCATAAGAAATTTGTATTTTGGTTCGAGACAGTTATGCAGTGCGATGTACCTATTTGCATTCTAGAAATGTTAACATAACAAAGAGTAATGTTTACGCGTAAGAGAATGAAAACATTAATAGAATATTTACGTTGTCATATACAAACAACAGTGGGGGAACACTTCACTTACAATTTCAACCAGTCACGTACAAAATGCTGCTTACATCGGACGTGGTACAGTGTGGTTCGAACATGTGGTCCGGTTATGACCAAGTCCACCGTAGCGAGTGCATTTCCTGAGCCGTGTGGTGTACACGTGTCTAGATCGTTTACGTCGTGTGGGTGGTCTACCTGGAGGACGACGCACACTAGGGGGCATAATAGGAGTATCTGTAATTTCGAGTGGAACATTCCAGTCCTCTTCATGCTGAATAGGATATATAGCTTCTCCGTAGGCACCCTTCCAGTACTCGGAAGTGTAATACGGTGAGCAGAGATCGTACAATGACGTACCTCTCAAGCAAGCAGCACGGGTTGCATGAACGCACGACATACGATTCAGCTGGAACTCACGACAAGTGCACGTCTTTTCCGAGAAGTTTACGATGTCCGTGTCATTGGATATTCCAACTTGTGTTAAGTTATTTGTCAACCCATGCGCTCGCAGCCTAGTACCTGCTTCGAACATCGTCCGTGACTCATTCTCCATCATTAGTGACAGAACAGTACTGCATGCGGTTGCACTTGCTCGACGTTCATAAAACCACTTCTGCATAGTATGCTGAATGTGTTCCACTAAGCACGTGATCGGTAACGAACGGGTATGTCTCAACATTGAGTTCAAAGATTCTGCGTTGTTGTTCGTCAAAATGTTGTACCGTTGGCCAACAAATAGTGCACGTGACCAAAATGGGAAACCTGCTCACTCCAAGTACCCGTACGCTCTTGCATTAACCCTACGAAACTGTCCCATAAGTCTTTCAAACTATTCGGTCCGGTAAGTTCTTGCGGCTCTTTTGCATAGAAATATTGAACTTGCGTTGTTGTACCACTGGATTAAATTCTTTTCCATTACCAAACACAGCACCCGTGGTGAGCCCGAGGAAATAGGTGAGCAATGGCATTTTCAATACTATTTTTCCTGTCGAAAACAAACACTAATTTGTCCGAGTCACCTATAAGATCTTTCAAATTTGATAAAAACCACATCCACGATCTATTCGTTTCGGCATCAACAATCCCCCACGCTAACGGATAAATCTGTTTGTTGGCGACTTGGGCAGTTGCCAGTAGAATGGTACCTTTGTACGGACCTTTCAAGTGACTGCCGTCAACACAAATAACGAGCCTCATGTACTGCAAGTAACCCTGAATGCTTGCACCGAAAGCTAGGAAAAGGTAGTGAAACCTGTTACGAGAATCTACTTCGATGTGTGTTACTGTCCTCGGGTTACTCTCTCCTAGGACGTGACAGTACGAAGAAAGTTTTTGAAAGCTATCATCCGGTATACCATGTAGCAAATGTAAAGCAGCGACCTTTCCCCTATGGGCTCGATGGTAACTAATTTTCACACCAAACTCACGTTCCATGTCACGAGTAATAGTAGTAGGATCATATGATCCGTACGTATAATCCAATTTTCCCATAATCTGCTTAGTAATTACGGAACTAGTGGCATGTCGATGTGCATTACGACGATAATCTATGGAACACGTGTGCACATTGTTGAATTTGCGGATCATGAAGATGGCGGATTGCTTCACACTCGAAGCACGTAACATCCACTTACAATTACCGTCGGCACATACAACGGTTAACATTTTTTGGCTTGACCTGCTAACCTGAAATTGAAACTTCTCTCGCAATACAAGTAGATGAATTCTCGAGTACAACTCTTTCTTGGTAAAAAATATTTCCCTTTCGATAAGATCCGGCGTATTCACAGTGGAAATCTAGTCGCATGTATCCGGACTTTTAAAATGTGATAATAGTTCTTCGTCAACGTCAGCAATATTACCAGTATTTGTACCATATAAGGGATCGTCGAACATCTCATTTAATGGTGCAGTCCGAACATCGAAAATTGGAGCATCCGCTACATTATTATTTGGGACACTTTGCTGATGACTAACGTCGTCGTCCTGTACAGTGTGGTCATCTTCCGCTACGGCGAACAATTGTTGGCTGTAATTTGTATCCCTTTCCATTTCAACACTTGGCAGGCCGATTTCCAAAGTCGTAACGCAGAGGGCAGTTTCCTTATGAACTGATATGTACCAATTTACGTCTTCATCTTCGAGTATTTCGGCTGGGGGTATATTCATGTTCGGAACTTTGAACTTCAATTCCAATTTTGTGCGCAGATCGAAAACACCAAGTTTCTCATCAACCGTAACAATAGCTCCGGTAGTGTGATACTGCTCGGCACTAAAATGGAAGTGGTTTTCTTCCCAGTCCACTTCCATTCGTCATTGACGTAAACAAACTTTCCCCCTTACGATACGATGAATCTCAAATTATTGTTCATACCTGAAATGTTGGGAATGCAACGATAAGAATTATGCGCAATCAAATGTAGCAAATGTAAAGTAGCGACCTTTCCCCTACGGGCTGGATGGTAACTAATTTTCACACCAAACTCACGTTCCATGTCACGAGCAATAGTAGTAGGATCATATGATTCGTACGTATAATCCAATTTTCCCATAATCTGCTCAGTAATTACGGAACTAGTGGCATGTCGATGTGCATTACGACGATAATCTATGGAACATGTGTGCACATTGTTGAATTTGCAGATCATGAAGATGGCGGACTGCTTCACACTCGAAGCACGTAACATCCACTTACAATTACCGTCGGCACATACAACGGTTAACATTTTTTGGCTTGACCTGCTAACCTGAAATTGAAACTTCTCTCGCAATACAAGTAGATGAATACTCGAGTACAACTCTTTCTTGGTAAAAAATATTTCCCTTTCGATAAGATCCGGCGTATTCACAGTGGAAATCTAGTCGCATGTATCCGGACTTTTAAAATGTGATAATAGTTCTTCGTCAACGTCAGCAATATTACCAGTATTTGTACCATATAAGGGGTCGTCGAACATCTCATTTAATGGTGCAGTCCGAACATCGAAAATTGGAGTATCCGCTACATTATTATTTGGGACACTTTGCTGATGACTGACGTCGTCGTCCTGTACAGTGTGGTCATCTTCCGCTACGGCGAACAATTGTTGGCTGTAATTTGTATCCCTTTCCATTTCAACACTTGGCAGGCCGATTTCCAAAGTCGTAACGCAGAGGGCAGTTTCCTTATGAACTGATATGTACCAATTACGTCTTCATCTTCGAGTATTTCGGCTGGGGGTATATTCATGTTCGGAACTTTGAACTTCAATTCCAATTTTGTGCGCGGATCGAAAACACCAAGTTTCTCATCAACCGTAACAATAGCTCCGATAGTGTGATACTGCTCGGCACTAAAATGGAAGTGGTTTTCTTCCCAGTCCACTTCCATTCGTCATTGACGTAAACAAACTTTCCCCCTTACGATACGATGAATCTCAAATTATTGTTCATACCTGAAATGTTGGGAATGCAACGATAAGAATTATGCGCAATCAAATGTAGCAAATGTAAAGTAGCGACCTTTCCCCTACGGGCTGGATGGTAACTAATTTTCACACCAAACTCACGTTCCATGTCACGAGCAATAGTAGTAGGATCATATGATTCGTACGTATAATCCAATTTTCCCATAATCTGCTCAGTAATTACGGAACTAGTGGCATGTCGATGTGCATTACGACGATAATCTATGGAACATGTGTGCACATTGTTGAATTTGCAGATCATGAAGATGGCGGACTGCTTCACACTCGAAGCACGTAACATCCACTTACAATTACCGTCGGCACATACAACGGTTAACATTTTTTGGCTTGACCTGCTAACCTGAAATTGAAACTTCTCTCGCAATACAAGTAGATGAATTCTCGAGTACAACTCTTTCTTGGTAAAAAATATTTCCCTTTCGGTAAGATCCGGCGTATTCACAGTGGAAATCCAGTCGCATGTATCCGGACTTTTAAAATGTGATAATAGTTCTTCGTCAACGTCAGCAATATTACCAGTATTTGTACCATATAAGGGATCGTCGAACATCTCATTTAATGGTGCAGTCCGAACATCGAAAATTGGAGTATCCGGTGCATTATTATTTGGGACACTTTGCTGATGACTGACGTCGTCGTCCTGTACAGTGTGGTCATCTTCCGCTACGGTAAACAATTGTTGGCTGTAATTTGTATCCCTTTCCATTTCAACACTTGGCAGGCCGGTTTCCAAAGTCGTAACGCAGAGGGCAGTTTCCTTATGAACTGATATGTACCAATTTACGTCTTCATCTTCGAGTATTTCGGCCGGGGGTATATTCATGTTCGGAACTTTGAACTTCAATTCCAATTTTGTGCGCGGATCGAAAACACCAAGTTTCTCATCAACCGTAACAATAGCTCCGGTAGTGTGATACTGCTCGGCACTAAAATGGAAGTGGTTTTCTTCCCAGTCCACTTCCATTCGTCATTGACGTAAACAAACTTTCCCCCTTACGATACGATGAATCTCAAATTATTGTTCATACCTGAAATGTTGGGAATGCAATGATAAGAATTATGCGCAGTCAAAATGTCGACTATATAATAGCATGGAAGTGACACGTTCCAATATTTAAACCTATGCAATACTACAAGGTCAAATTAAGGGTGCCAAGAATTTTCAGCTATCCAATTCGACAGTTTACTTATCTATCCCTGCAGTTTATAAATGTCAGGTACAACAGTTCAAATGTCGATCTCGACATTTTCGAAATGTCGAGTTCGATGGTTCGAGTGTCGAAACTGTCGAGAAGTTTCAAATGTGTTTGGTAGCATTAATACTTATAATCATTTCTTCAACTACAACATCACAACCTATTTTCAGAAATAAATGACTGAATGCTTCATTAAATATGGAATACTTCACATTTTCCTAAATATGTTGGGTATATTTTTCCTTCAACAATATTAAAAAAACAAGACCATCATGTTATTTTTAACATTCTAAAAAAAAGTAATTTATTACGTAGAAATATAAACAATTCGTAAAAACTTACATTTCAAGATAGATGAAGAAGATGGTTGAAATAATGTCTTCTTCAGGAAGAAGAAAATGAATGAAGAAGATAATGAAATAAGGGTTTCTTTCACAATAAATTTATTTTTTAATGTTCACTAGGGTTTAGAAGGATTTTATATTCATTTTTTATTAACTAAATTCGTATTTTACAATATAATATTCATATTTTCAATGATTATAATATACAAAGTACACAATCAAATCACAACATTAATTGTTTTGAAAACCAATCATGAAGGAGCATTAAATGCTCCAAAGAAGTCAAATTAAGGGTAATTTAGACATTTGACAACAAGAAAGTGACATTTTTGTACAAATTGTGTGCACATCAAAGTTTTTTGTGCATTTTCATAAAAAGTGACATTTTGGTAAATTCCCCTTCTTATATTTGTTATATTGTAGAAACTAATTTGTTGTTTGGTTCTTTCAGAAGACGAAATGGCAACCGGTTCCACAAACATGGATTCCAACATGGATGTGTCCCAAACTGTAAGTACCCAAATTCGGGTTGTGGGTTCTACTATGGGTACAGGGCCTAGTTCAGCTATGGGTGCAGTTATGGCTACAGGGCCTAGCTCTGTTATAGCTCAA